GTTAATCTGGCTGCTTCCCTTCTGTGATGTTTGTGAAGCTCTCCCAAAGGTGCATGATTTACCACCCTTCACAGTTCAGTGTCTAAATTAAGGACCGATGGTAACTCCAGTTTCGGAGGTTCTGTGAATCCACTCCAGGTTTTAGACGGTGCTTCACATGGGCTGTCCAAGGTTCTGAATTCTAGGTACAGCCTATTGGAGAATTCCTGTAAAGTGTAAGTAAAACCTGGAGTGGATTCTCTGCTTCCCCAAAATTGGAGCCATCAGGTGCCCTGGGCCTGAGGTTTCCATCCCACTCTGCATGAGGGCCAGCTCTTCACCCATATATGACCTCCTCAGGAGTCTAACAACCATGAGTAGCAACCACATCATGAAAATAACCACTACCCATCTCTTGCAGGTAGTGAAAGCAGAAAGACAGTCAACATCAGGGAAGTAGTAAGGGCTACCACATCCATGTTGATTGTCTTCATGCTTTGACCTGCTTGGGTGCAGATCAACCATGGGTATTTGGAGAGCCACTGCTCTTCCAAGAGGCACCCTCTTCCCATGGAAACCCACCACCCGTTTACAGCTGCTGCCATTTCCGTCTCCTCACCTGTCTTACCTGAGTATTCGATGGAGGGGACCCCCCATCCCTTGCTCCCCTGGCCTCCTCTTTGGCTTCTCTGCTGATCAGCTCATGGTCCGCACAATCTTGTTTGAAATACTTCCTTGGCGGAGGCTTCGGTTTGGATGACCGGGGTTTCCTAACGAGGATCTCGGTGGACCTCTTCGCGGGGGCCTGTGGCAGCTGGACGGTTACTTTTTGAGTCAGTGGGGAGGGGTCTTTCTCCAGACTTGTTCTGGAGGAGGAAAAGAAGGAGCCCGGCTGCCTGGTAATGGGTACGTCAATACTGTGCCCTTTGGCCTTCAGGTCCACCAGCTGGTACACGAGGCCGTTTCCCCCAGACAACCTGGGGTTGTAACTGCTGTCGCTGCTGGACCGGATCATGTGCTTTGAGGTATGAGGGTTGCTGTGGGCGGTGCGCCTCTCTGAGTATTTCTCGCAGGGAGGTTTCTTATGCCAGCTGTTCTCCAGGTTTTTAACACCTATATTTAATTAAAGAAACAACCAAAAAAGAGGAAAAGCACATAGCGGTGATCATAGTAATAGAGACGCCACACCCCAAAGATTCTTTCAAGAAATGCCATGTCCCGAAATGGACAGTGGCCTTGCTGTTCACCCAAAACCAGCCAAAACGGTTTGTTACTAGAGATGGGATTTCATATTTCTCAGACTCCAAATGAGGGATGTGGTGGTGCTGCAAGTTAAACTGCAGAAGCCTCTGGGCTGCAAGGTCAGAAGACCAGCCATCGTAAGATCGAATCCACATGACGGAGTGAGCTCGCGTCACTTGTCCCAGCTCCTGCCAACCTAGCCATTTGAAAGCATGTAAAAATGCAAGTAGATAAATAGGGACCACCTCGGCGGGAAGGTAACAGCGTTCCATGTCTAGTCGCGCTGGCCACGTGATCATGGAAACTGTCTTCGGACAGACACTGGCTCTACAGCTTGGAAACGGGGATGAGCGCCGCATCCTAGAGTCGGACACGACTGGACTAAATGTCAAGGGGAAACTTTACTTTTGCCTAGACTCCAAATCTGATGTATAGCAACCCTAAGAGTTTCAAGATGCGCGAGACACACAAGGAATGTTCCCCACCACTGCCATTCCACCCACCTCCAGTGAGTTTCTATGGACAAGCAGAGATTCGAACGCAGGCCTCCCGAGTTCTAGTCATCCCTTTATTCACCATGCCACACTGGCTCAAGAACGCCAGAAGAAGCGCCACCAAGGCACTGTATTCATTCGTCCTTTAGCCACATCCCATGAGAATCTTCTTCTGTTCTTCGACAAAGTATCAACTTTTTAATATTTGGGGTTTTCTTACCTTCTGTATTCCACTGGTACCTCTCTCTTTCCACAGCTTGTGAAATGGCCTCTTTCAGCTGCTGTTCAGAGACCTACAAAACATCACATGTCACCGTACAATGCTGGAAAAGTGCAGAGTTTAGCCAAAGACTGGTTCTATTCCTTTTTCTTAGAGGTGACAAAGCAATACATTACAGTAGTTCCTGTCGGGTTGTGTTGCGTTCCGTTAACCCTTAGCATTTCAGCACTGTCAGAAAGTGGGAGCATCATCCAGTTTGGGCCTCACCTGTGGAGCTGGGTGCCTGCTGATGATGATTTGCACGGTCCCAGGATTGCAATGGCTTAGAAGTCCATGGACTTCATTAAGGGTCTTATTTTGAACTGATGTCTCGTTGATTTCTACGATTTCATCTCCACACCTTTTTAAAAAGAAGAAGGGCAAAAATGAGACATCCTTTATATTAATCTGGAAGATGAAGATTCATTTGCCTGAAACTATTTTTAGAGCAGCGGGAAAGGGAGGGCATACATTTCTCCTGCTTCTGAATTGTTTTTAAGCCTCAAATTCTTCCTGACAAATTTAGGAAGGGATCTGTGGACCTCGGCACATTATTTAAGAACAAGCTGAAATGGAAGGTCTTCCCCAATTGAACCAGGAAAACCAGGAGCGGTCCCAGCATGGGGAAAGTTTGCCTGCATTAATTGTATTTGTCTGTATTGTCTGTGTTCAGAGAAAAGATCCCACCGGGCAGGGGGAAGGGGGGAATTCTAATTCAGGAGTAAAGTATTTGACTATTCTGGGGTTCAAACCCAGACTTTTTAAGGGGTGAAGACTCAACGCCCTTGATTCTAGGCAGATGACTGTCAGTTTGTTCCATGTTTAACAGATACAATCCTATGGGTCATTTAACGCTTTTGTAACGGAAACCCCATGCATGATAGCAGCAAAATGCCAGTCGTTATGGAGGTGCTGTTGGTATTTCTGGGCATGTTCCAATTCTAGCAA